GAAAAAAAAAAAAAAAAGTCCAAGCACCGGAATAATTATGCAGCAATAAAAAGCTGCGTTTCAGAAGAGTTTCCCCGTGTATTGAGCACGTTTCAATTTGTCACCTTTGAAATTGGCGCCGCCTCCCCTCCATTGCGCAATCATCACAGCCCAGTTTAGTCCTGAGGTTAATTATTAATAACCTATTCAGAGACCGCATCACAGTCAGCAGCAGCAACAAGCAACGAGCAACTTTTAATCTTGAGATACCCCTTCTTTCTTTTTATTATTATTTCTCAACAACAATATTCAACTTCCATTTCCACTTTCAAGCACGGACCTCCTCTCTTGTATCTCCAATCGATACCCCGCCATTTTCTTCAACTTCAACTTCACATAACCACAAATTACTTCACTCTTCACAATGGCCGACACCCACACTTACGAGTTCAACATCGCCATGAGCTGCGGAGGCTGCTCTGGCGCCATCGATCGCGTCCTCAAGAAGCTCGATGGTATGCTTTCGCGCCCCAAATGTCCTCTGACCGCCACTAATAACAGCTTGCAGGTGTCGAGAGCTACGAGGTTTCCCTCGAGAACCAATCCGCCAAGGTCGTCACCGCCCTCCCCTACGAGACCGTCCTCCAGAAGATCGCCAAGACCGGAAAGAAGGTCAACTCAGCCAAGGCGGATGGTGTTGAGCAATCCGTCGAGGTTGCTGCCTAAGTGCTACAAGCCAAGGCAGGAGGCGAGACGGCGTGGGTTGTAATGGAAGCAATATGAGATCGATTCCTCGAGTTATTCATTAGCCTTGCGAGTATATCTGGCATGCCTTCGGTGTTTATGTTCCTGGACAAAAGGGACAGGAGGAAATATCATTTTGCGAACCAAATCCCTTGAAACCAATTAAGAAAATAATAATTAGTTGTAGACATCGCTCATGGCATGCCTTTTGGAGCACATGCCTTTCGCATACTTGATTTTTGCTCGCTAGTGGATGTTGTGTAGTGTCGCGAAGCACCTCAAACCGGGTCACTCCGTCCATGTATGCGGAGCGCAAGTCGATACGAAAGATCGGCCTTATGCGAAGTGTGATAGTTATCCCTGGGCAATACCCATTTCTATGTTCGGCATGTTCGTGCGCGATGCTGGCGAGGAAGCTAGACTACAAAATCAGCGTAAGATCAAAAATTAGTAATATTCAACAAGCGCAGAACCAAGAAGGAAAGTATTGATATAAAGATGCTCTGAAATACTCATAACATTCCGCGAACCCTAGGGTAACCGTGTTGTTTCCTATATGTCGGTAGAGATTTGAAAAGTCATCGCTACCTACCTTGCCTACATGTTTCGAGATCTAGTGATGCTATGCAAGCCAAGAGAGCTGGAAGAATGCTGACCACGAGGGGTCATGCAATACAATCTGCCTCTGTTTGAGAAGTTTCTTCGTCTAAATGAAAGATAGAAGTAAGGTCGACGGTTCGATGTAAGACGTGCTGTCACAACCAATGAGAACCTCAGAGAACATGGGGATCATAACGATCAATTGCCCCGTACTTTGAGTGTCATGACGCAGGCATTATCATGAGGAGACAACCCCGCGTAGCTTTGTGTTGCGTTGGACCTTGAACCGGGTATAGGGCACCCAATTGAACCCTCCAGCATGATCCCATCTCAACTTCCGTTCCTCCAGCTGCTGAAGGTTCCATGAAGCATTGGATTCCGTCCAGCAAACATCGAAGTCTCAAGTCCCGTGCCACGAACGGCGCCAGGATGAACGGACTGTTGTTGGGCGTCCTCATGCCTCAAGGGGCGTGCCGCTACTTTGGGTTGAATGCGGGGAAGAGAATTGCGGTTGCGGCTCATGCAAGTCAATACTGCGGAGCCGCAGTGGATTCAAGGCCGTTTTAGCACTGCACGGGCTTGATGACGGGGCTAGGAGGGATAAGCGCGACCTCGAAAACGCGGAGCCCCCAGGAACCCACGGGCCAGCCCCAGATATTATGATCTAGGGTCCAAGACGAGTGACAATCTGTGGCAATGCTAAGTTAGATCCAGCCCTGTTTGCCCTAGTACAGACTTACTGGTGATACTTTCCAAGTGACTGTTTTCAAAGAACAGCCTTATGACCATTCACCCAGCCTCGACCAGTGAAGACTCAGCTAAACATGGTGTTTTACTCCAGGTAACTGCGAGGTGGAATAGACGGACGCTTACACTTACATACCAAACATTTGCTGGCGTGTCATGGGTCAGCTGCCTCGGAAACAAATCTCCTCTTGACCGGTTCGCGGGGAAGAATAACGACCAGGGATAGAGCACATCTCTGCAACCCCTGCGAAGGTATCAAGAAGGTGGATCTTCAACAACCAGAAGCCAGATGAAGTAGTACCGCTGCACAGCTTTCCAATCATGCCATTAGCACATGCGTGTTCGAGTCTTCGAGAAGCAGATGGCAATCAGCGACCAAACTTTGACGGGGATGCCAAAGCGGTTAGGAATGGTTGGTTGATAGTCGTCCGTAATGGTTGGAACCAGCAGCAACGACACACATACAACGTTCGCAAACGTTGATGTGCCGCTCTGTGAGACGCCATATCGCTTGTGAGCCAAAGGGCTAAGACGATTTTGACACGGCAGAAAGTAACATTTTCCAATAAACGTCTCTTGGGAGTAAACCAAAGATCGATCCTATGGCGTCGAAGCCAACTTGGACGGTTCCAGAGCCAGCCTCCTGCATAGTCTTCCTCCTACAGTACAGTTACAACGCAGCACATCACAGGGATCTCGAGTCAAGGGCTCATTCAGTGCGTAACACACTGAGCTAATTTGGAGCTTCCCCGCATTTCCGAAATGGGCCTCCGCCCAGCCGACTGGGATCAACCTTGAACCCGAGGGCGGTTCCCAATCAGGCGTAGAAGTGGTCGTTGATGGCGCTGAGTGTAAGTCAACTCAAGATCAGTCCGGGGAAGATCCTCATGAACCTCCATCATATGCAATCACGGATCCGAACCTGCTTCCATCCCAATAGCACGGTGCTAGAGCATCTGTGGGACCTGCATCACGTCTAGGAGAAAAGTGCGGGGAAATGTGAGGATGCCTTCAAAAGTCCACACCATGTTTTTCTTTTTTGCCCCATGTATTGTCCAACACGGAGCTCCACTGTTGTATGATAACTGGCCAGTTTCTTTGTCAGTGCTATGTGACTCGACATCAACAGCATCAGCCACGATGGCATTGGCTTCTCATACCGTATTTTGGGGTAACGACTAGTCTATACCCTTCGCAGAGTGAACAAATCACCTCCACAGGCTCCTTTCGAGCGAAGCCTGAATACCTTAATGCCGTTGCTTGACATCGGTACAAGGGAGGTCGTATTGGAGAAACTGCACCGACCCGTTGATTCTCTTGCCGTGTCTCGCCTGGACACCGCTTTGACGGGACTTGGTGACTGGGTTCAGTTGTTGGCAAAGCGGATGAGGATGAGGATGAGTGCACACTTGGTCTGTACTCTGCTATTGATCTTCAGGACAGGGGGTTCCTTCCCTACAAGAAGACATCCGTGGATATCTGATGTCAGAGGAGGAAAGAAGCTTGGGCATTTGCATTACCCCTCCATACCTACCTACCTACCTAGGTACCTACGTATCTATAAAACTACGAACTCAATAATGCCGATGCTCGGCCCTGGATAACGCGAATGACGAGATTCAATGCTTCATATAATTATCATCTATGCAAGACAAAGAGAATAGTCATTGGATGGCATAGACGTTAACAGTGCGGTGGGACATCAATCCACGAAATCTAAAGCGATCTTCAAGCAGTCTACAACTACCTTGTGAAAATAGGCGTGTATACCTAACGGCAGATTAGTTCATACTGGATTGAGCGTTTCATCGGGCCTGCACCGGGGGGTGAGTCCACCTTTCCTCGGGCGGGCTGTCTACAGGTACGGAGCCGCTGCCAAACCACCACCCCGGCTGTTCCGCAGCCTATTAATCGATGGGATATGCAGCTACCACATGGCTGAACGGATGCGATGCGCTTTATTATGGCGAGGAGCTAGGAAACGTGTGGAATGAAGTATTGGTGAAGTAAAGGTTTGGCAACACTGTCTCGGTGCTGTACATTGTACAGTGGTGGGGTCGAGGTTAAGGGGCTCTTGATGAGGTCTACGATACGAATCTCATATCATGCCACCTCAAGAAGAAGGATCTGTCAAGCAACCGAATTAGGACCGGATATGCAATCGAAAGATCCGAATTTACCGCCATAACGGTAGTTTTCTCTTCACTAGGTATCTTTCTTTTAGGTCCTGCCCTGGTATGGGCTGTTTCGATTAACAAAGGACAAAACCCGGTGTAATGGGAAAAGGGCCGCAAAAAGCAGCTGACTGTTCATGGATGCTAAAACATCACGACACAATTGATGATGCCGAACAATTAGCTCCATCCATCATGACTTCTTTGCCCTCGACGATTATTCTGCTTCCATGAATTACACGCCCCCTCCGATCTCTCTTGCTACGGATACCACTTCCTAGAGCTGCGGATGTATGTACCTTTTCCTCCAGAGGTAGACAACTTTGAATTGACGCTACCGTCATGAATTGTCCCACCAGAGCTCTTCGGAGGGGAAGTTTGAAGCCAGGCAGGGGCGGGGGGTTCACAATATCTAGCTCAATCATAGGCTGTGAATAGATGGTAAAGTGCGGCAGGTACCGTAGCGTAGCTGTCTGTCGCTGCGTTGGTAGGGATCTGATGCTGAAGACGGTACCTGCCCTTGCCCTGGTTACCTGCCCGCTCCTACAGTAACCCACAAGTGACGCCACTGCAAACAACCCGAGCTAGCCTCACCTCACCTCACCTCACACACTCGGTCTCTCTCACACACTAAGCTAATCCCTCCCACGTAACGCAAGTATAGGACGATACCGTACATACAGCAAATGCCATCCTTTCGCCGCATCCCGAAAAGCAAAGTCCAACGAGCATGGCCAAAATAGCGGATCCCCGTGCAGCCGAAGTGGCCCCTCCCTTTGGCCCTTGCTGGTCCCTTGGCGAGTCCAGAATAGAGTGCTGTGCTGTGCTGTGCTGTGCTGTAGCTAAGCTATCCAGGCTGCGATACGATATGGAGACTCTCTTGTCTGATCTGTTCTGATCTACCGCTTCTGCTCTCACACCCTTCGACATCATCTGCACTCCCTCTCCCCCGCGACCGCCAAGATGAGGCTTGAGTTCTTACGCCCATCCTTGCCCCGTTGGCCCATCATACGGTTTGGTTTAGGCCCGAGTTCTATCCCATACCTCCAGTACCAGACAGGACCATACCATACCATACCATACCACATAGATCAGACCTTTCCTGCACTCGGGATCTCCCACCCAACATCTATATAAACTCTGCTCCCGTCGACTTCAAATCGTTTCTTCCTTCTCCATCCTCATTCAGATCATCAATCAACTCTTCGACACTCTCAACAACAACTCTTCCGTCTTCAAGACAACCTTTGATACCCTTCAACCAAACAACCAATCCACCCAACAATCAAAATGGCCGCTCCCGAGATTCCTTCCCAGCAGTGGGCTCAGATCTTCGAGAAGACCGCTGGTCGTATGTCATCCTTTTCCAATTGCCTCTTATACCTTGGCTCTCAGCCAAGCTCCGCCTGTTTCGAAGCCGCCCCACTATTCGTTCTACAGCACTTATATCAGTTTTGAGTTTCATACTGACATCTCATTTCCTATAGCCATCGAGTACAAGCAGATTCCCGTTCAGAAGCCTGGCCCCGATGAGGTCCTCGTCAACGTCAAGTTCTCCGGTGTTTGCCACACCGATCTCCACGCCTGGCAAGGTGACTGGCCCCTCGACACCAAGCTGCCTCTTGTTGGTGGCCACGAGGGTGCCGGTGTTGTTGTCGCTCGCGGCGAGCTTGTCAAGGATGTCAAGATCGGCGAGAAGGTCGGCATCAAGTGGCTCAACGGTTCTTGCCTGAGCTGCTCTTACTGCCAGAACGCCGACGAGTCTCTCTGTGCTGAGGCTCTCCTCTCCGGTTACACCGTCGACGGTTCTTTCCAACAATATGCCATCGCCAAGGCCATTCACGTTGCTCGCATCCCTGAGGAGTGTGACCTTGAGGCCATCTCCCCCATTCTCTGCGCCGGTATCACTGTCTACAAGGGTATCAAGGAATCCGGTGTCAAGGCCGGCCAGTCACTTGCCATCGTCGGTGCTGGTGGTGGTCTCGGATCCATTGCTGTTCAGTATGCTAAGGCTATGGGTATTCACGCCATTGCCATCGATGGTGGTGAGGAGAAGGAGAAGCTTTGCTTGTCCCTCGGTGCTCAGTCCTTCATCGACTTCACCAAGACCCAGAACATTGTCGCTGATGTCAAGGCCACCACCCCTGATGGTCTCGGCCCCCACGCTGCTCTCCTCGTCGCTGCTGCCGAGAAGCCCTTCCAACAAGCTACCCAGTACATCCGATCCAAGGGTACTGTTGTCTGCATCGGTCTCCCCGCCGGTGCTCAGTTCTCTGCTCCCGTCTTCGACACTGTCGTTCGAATGATCCAGATCAAGGGATCTTATGTTGGTAACCGTGCCGATACCGCCGAGGCCATCGATTTCTACCGCCGTGGCCTCATCAAGGTTCCCTTCAAGACTGTTGGTCTCTCTGAGCTCAACGACGTCTTCAAGCTCATGAAGGCTGGCCAAATTGTCGGTCGCTATGTCGTCGACACCAGCCGATAAGCGCGCGGCTGTCGCTTGGGTAGTGCAGGAAAGCACTCCCTAAAAGTAAACAGGGCTACCCATTGCGCAAAGGGTGATTGATACCCTGCTAAGAGGAGTTCAGGCGGGAGTTGATTTGGGTTTTCTGGCGGTGTTGTCGAGGTAGCCAGATGGATCTTGGTTACACTTTTGTGTATAGTCCTAGTTTATGAGCTTTATGATTTTCTATTGCATGAATAACAGAACGAACATTTCGATCAATATTTGACTTCCCAGCAGTGATGTTTACAATAGACCAGTTCATGTTGACTAGGAACAATGAGTTTTATTGGTTCACCGGAAGCGTTACTTATTTTGATATGGAATTGACCGTCCCTTCCTATCCATTGTCACTGTGTCATCGACAATGCGACCATGGCCTCATGGGTCGTGGTGAATAAGCTATATCGAAGCATGTGCTTGTTTCGATTGATTTGCACCGAATCGGCGGCTGCATGCTTACCTGATTATATAACTAACAAAGCAACCTTCCACCGTGGTTAAATTACTTGGGCTATCATAGAATTGTCTGGGAAAGAATTGCATCTTCAACAACATGGTCATGCCGGGGTCATTGCCCCTCCACCCACTACAATTCTGCTGTAACAATGGATCCCGCTCTATAGTAAGACCCCTGGCAGCCACCAAGCCATTTGTAGAACACCATGACATCCATCTAGAAGGAAATCAGACCACTACCATTGTCCATGCACGAAGCATCTAGAGCAAGCCGTTACGAGGCTAACGTTGCTTGGCTGCAGACACACTCACTGTTCTCGACCGAGGGCGAGGGTCTAATTAATTGGAACTTGGCGGGTTATTCAGTACACATGCAGCAGTTATCTCTGCAGTACACACATAGCAAGAAATATGCCTAGGTAAGCGATGCATCATGCTTCTAGCAAATGCAGTCCACGAACGGGGAATTCCGACAGGCTTCAGAAATGTGAATTTTAAAAGCAACTAAGGTAACTCTTCAACATGTGCCACCGCCTTGCCATCTCTTCCACTTGTACTTGCATCGCTTTAGGCATAATTGTCAATTGAGATTTTGCGCCATGAGCGCCGCTTCATTGCACCCCACAGCAGACACCCCATCGTCTAGTCTTCCGTCTACTCCAGGATGCTTACTCTCTAGAAAGTAGAGTATATACTCTCGGGATCCGTTGAGGAGTAATTCTTGATTGTTTAAGTCTCCCTCTAAGAGCCACCGGGGCCACCCAGCAGGGCGAATCTTCGCACAATGCTGGGGCCATATTCTTGGTACTGTAATCCTGGTTAGCTAGTGTTTGTAAGAGTAGGACACTCAATCTTACCTCGGCCTTAGTATGGCAGTATGATCGGAATTCAGGGGTTTGACCGAGAAGACTGCCTCCGAACCAGGGACCGTGTCGCTGTCGCTTATGAGTGATAACAGACACGTCCAAGCCACCGCTTCGAGCACCACCGCTACGGACCTCACTAGCTCGAATTCTGGCATCCACCAGTTGCTTAATGTCTCGCTGTAATCGACGTCCGAAATCCTTGTATAGTGTGCTGCCTCCAGAAAGTACAATGTTCTTGTAAAGGCCTCGTCGGACATCAATGGGCGATTGCTGGATAACACCATCAACGACCACAGGGAGAGGGGTCAAGAAATCAGAGCTGTAAATCTCAGGGTTGAAGAAAATCTCGGGGGCGAGGAAACGTTCGTAACCGACATCGACGCTGACCTGGCGGCCATTGGGATGCGACACAACGTGCTTGGCAAATCGAGTGCGATCTCGGTCGTACTTGCTAAATTCCTTGACAATATCTGGACAGACGTAGCAGTACTCTTCCTTAATCTCCTGAGCTGTCTTGAGCGAAGAATCGGGCTCGCCGCGGTCTCTCAGCAGGGACTGAACGAAGTAGGTGATATCTCGACCAGCAATAGGAATTGACTTGATGGAGGAGCCAATGACATAACCTTCGGCAACGGGAATGACGTGGGTGACACCATCACCCGAGTCGATGACTGTTCCGGTCAGCGAGCGATCCTGGACCTTTGAAGATGTCCAGGAAGCAGCGAGAGCCAGAACAGCCTGAACGGCAATGTACATTCCAGCACAGTTGAAGGACTCGAAAAAGATCTCAGCGGTGTTCTCTCGGTTCTCAGGCGGGTTCAGGGGCTGTGTTGGTTAGTATAGTATTCCGACTTTGTTTCGGGGCGAATATTGCTCACGGGCTCGGTAAGGAGGAAGTAGTGGTCTTCAGGCTCGACTCGAAGATACTTGAAGATGGAGTTTGACCAGAATCGCTCCATGTGGTCCTAAAGGCGGTCAATTCCAGCTCATGTCGGTCCCATCGACGAACATACCCAGTTCTCTATTTGGCCATGTCGAATAGGATAGTGAATGCCGTATCCTTGACCCGTCAGTTTAATCCTTTAATCGGAGGTTGAATGGCTGCCTACCAGGTCCACCGGAAGCTGCTATCGCCTCATCACCGATAAAGAAGTCAAGATCCTCGGTTCCTCGCTTTCCACTCAAATGACCTCCGGAACCAGCACCACCGGTAAGGAAAGAAGGCTTGTTCGCAACAGCTGGTCGTCCTGAACCAGAACCACCAGCTCCGCCAGTTGGCCCCTTTGTCGCGATCGCAGTTGGGAAGACGAATGAAGGCGAATCGTTACCGGCGAAACCTACACTCAAGCATCAGCAAGGAATTCAAGACTATTCGGTCGATTCAGGTGCGTAGATAATCATTACGGACCTAGCTTGGAGAAACCCGTGCCGCTGTGAGCTGAGGTTAGCTGTCGTCGTCAATGCGGGGGCTGGGGATAAGTGAGACTGACTTGTCCATGACAACGGCGGGAGTTTGGTTAGCCATGATGGATGAGAGTGCGAGACAAAGCGCACAGCTATATAATAAAAGAAATAAAACGGGTGAAGAGCAAGTGGGATGCTGCTCGTGAGGGAATGCAATGTGCGGCAACGGCGGTGGTCGTTGCGTTGCGTTCGATAGGTGAGGATTACGTTACGTGCCTGGGAAGCTCTAGCTTGGAGGTGAGTGAGGCTTGAACTGCGGCTGTGCTGCCCCGCCGTTTGGTCACTGAATGGCTGGAATTGTGGATTCTACAGCTGCAGTAACCGGGGATATGAGCTAAAACTGACAGAATTATCAAAGCATTTAACGATATGTCTTGATTAAACTTGAAGCCCAGTGAGAAGTTGTGAAACGGGTCTGTTAATGAAAGCCTACCCAGTATACCCGAATCTAAGTCTTTCATCTCTAGAACCAGCATTGGGCGCTATTTGTACGATCGAACTCAATTACCGTCACGGTCAAGAGTTTGATATCTCGATGATTGCACGTTGATATTGTCACTTAAACAGCTTGTAACACCTGAATCCGACGTCATTTCAAGACAGCCCAGGAGAAAAGGAGCAATTGCATCTCATCAAAGTAATTACCATTGGGGATTGAAGCTGCTGGCAGCTGTTTTTGCCAGGGCTTGGACTTGAACATAACGCTATTTTGAGATTAGCATTTTATTGTACCTACCTACCTAGGTAGGTCTGCCGTTATTAACTTCCAGCAATTACTTGCATCCATGTATTTTAACATTCGCAACTGCTTTTACTGCCTAGGTACCTATTCTCTTTTACTGCGGGTGGTAGTCATAACATATCCAGAATGTCGAGGAAAGACTGACCAAAACTATCCTTTACGCTCCTACCACCGCTCTATCGGGCTGTCACCTTGCCTTTCAATTCGATGGTCCGCTCAGCATTTCGCTACCTTTAAAATCTTCAACCTTGCCTAAAACGAACTGAACCTCAAGCAACATAACCCCCGGGTATCTCAACACCCACCTCCTTTCTCGCTTTCGCATATTCACCTCATTATCATCATCTTATAACCTGTCGTATCATCAAACAATCATTACCTTATGACGTTGCTCAAGGATGTCAGACAGTCTCGATGATGGAACCCCCTTCAGCTCAGAGACGACGCCATTTGGGACGGACGGTGCTTTCGACCGTGTATTAAGAGCCGGCCATAGGCCAAAAGCTGCGCCTGCCATCTTTGTCCACGCCGGAGCTGGATTCCATAGCCATCAGAATGAAAGGGTTCACCTCCAGGCCTGTAATGCGTAAGATACTTTCCTGCCAATCCTTGACCTATCGATCTTGGAGCTAACGGTGATAGTGCTGCCGAGATGGCGATGAAGTTTCTCAAGGCTGGCGCTACTGCAACTGAAGCCGTCGAGGCCGCCCTCCGGGTCCTTGAAGATAAGGAAATCACCAACGCCGGTTACGGCTCCAACCTCTCTATCGATGGTATTGTCGAATGCGACGCCACGGTCGTGGATCATCTTGGCCGCAGCGGCGCCTGTGGTGCTGTTCCAAGTATGTTTTGCAGTATGAAGTTGACGCTTGCTGTGCTAATAAATTTGCAGATATCCGAAATCCGATATCACTTGCCAAGCTCATTCTCGACAAAAGCAACAAGCCATTGAGTCTACGACGGGTTCCTCCAAACGCTCTCGTGGGAGAAGGAGCCAAAGCTTTTGCAGAGGAGCATGGTCTGATGACATTTCCAAACGAGTACATGGTTTCGAAAAACGCTAAAGATCGGTATCTGCGGTGGCAGGAAGATCTCAAACGGGCTGATATGAAGATGAAAGAGCCTAAAACCTTGCCCGAGATCGCCGACACATGCCCTCCGTGTCAGTATGATACTTCATCGCCAACAAAATCGCAGATGTCTTTACCCCAAACCCAACGAGCTGCCATTGTCGCCGGCACTTGGAACGAGGGACAACCCGATTCGCCGTTTATCAGCACACCAAGTCAGTCACCAACGCCCTCGCCTGATCAACATACATCTACTAGTTACTTCCGAATTGCCGGGCCATCTACAAACTCTTTAGCTCGTCCTTCATTGGCCCGCACAGTTCTTGGAAAACCTGCCCAGACATATGCTGGGGTAGCTGGTGGTGCGCTGTCTTCCTCTTTCCAAACTAAGCTACCAGGTCGAAAACCCAACCCTTTAGCCGAGGATTTTAAGCCTGTCATGCCTGAAAATACTTCGATACATCAAAAGCACCACGTGTGCGCCACCAACAAGACTGATAATGTTCTGGCAGAGACCCCCCTTGGGAACAACGGCCACAGCAACCACCAAAGCTCCACCGGTCCCCGTGGGGTTAAGCGGCCTTCCAGCCCAAGTGACAAAGCACAACCTCATTCACGAGCTATAAAAGATCGCTTTCGTATTGGGCCCGGGGATGAGGACGCTATTACGGACACTATTGGTGCCGTTGCGATCGACGATCGAGGCAACATCGCTGCCGGCTCTTCCTCAGGTGGTATTGGAATGAAACACCGAGGTCGCCTAGGTCCAGCCGCTCTAGTGGGAGTCGGTACAGCTGTTGTTCCCTACGATGAAGAAGATGAAGATCAGGTTTCAGTTGCTGCTGTCACCAGTGGTACGGGAGAGCATATGGCTACAACTATGGCCTCCCAACGGTGTGCTGAGAGGATTTATCATGGCACAAAGCGTGGCCGAGGAGGCAAGGATATCCAGGAAGACGATGAAGATGCCATCATGGGATCCTTCATTGCTGAAGATTTCATGAAACATCCGGGTGTCATAAACTGTCACTCAGCCGGTGCAATTGGCGTCATGGTGGTCAAGAAAACCCAAACCGGCTACTACTTCTATTTTGCTCACAACACAGACTCGTTTGCTCTCGCCTCAATGGGCGGCTCAGAGAAACAGCCAAGCTGCACCATGTCTCGACTCTCTGAGGGTGCTAAGATTGCCTCCGGTGGGCGTAAGATCCGACTTGGGTAAAGCATACCGCTGTTTGAATCAGCACATGTCATTGCAACTCTGATGTTCCCGAGTTCTCAACTCATCGAACTGCTTGATGACTGTAAAATGGACGTCAATTGTCGCCTTGGGATATGGTGGAGGTTGAGGAAGATCTTATGTATGGAACAAAAGTGATACCCTTGCAGCCCCTATAGCCCGCGAGTCCTTTCATCCGGGCTGATTAAGACCAGCAGTACTATTACATAGGATAGGATAAATATAATTTATTGTCTTGTGAGGGTATCTCTTATTTGTTTCTACGGCGCATAAGTAAAGAAAAGACGCCCTTCATCAAGGACGAGGGGTCCCTGTCGCACTGCCTGTCTCCTCTCGTGACCCGCCATTCACTATCTTTCGCTTCTTCTTTTTCTTACGTGGAACAACAGCTGGCTTAGCACCGTAGTTGCCCAAAGATAGCTTCGTTCCACATGTGAAACATTCGGAGTTCTCCGGTGCCTCGCAAAAAATGCTGAGACAGATTGAACAGACAAAACCAGTGTCAACAACACGGCCATGGCAGAAGCAAGCGGCACGGAAATCAACAGTGTCATGTATGGGAGTGATGAGGGCTTCGCGAGCTTCGGTGTCAGCTATGAGGCCAAACATGAGGTAGTTGAGTAGGCCCTGAGGATGTGTAGCTGCCAAAAATGTGCCGCCTGTATTGTAGCACGCTTGTTCCAGGAAAGTCGGCTCACCGGTAAGTGAGAGGGTATCGATTGCGACTTGGGTATGGGCAGCTGCAAAGACAGCGTTCATGGTGGGGATGTATTGCGAGGGCTCTGAATCGGACACAGAGATAACGAGAATTCGGCCGCGGACGGTTGGTGGGGATGTGTTGGAAGAGCCCTTGTGAGTATCTTCCAAGTTGGCGGTAGGTGAACAGAATGCCTGGGCAGCCTTGTTGATATGGCATAGGGCAAGTGTTAGAGCTCCTGATATTTGTGTTGTTGTGGCAGACAGGTCTGCTTCCTTAGTCTGATCCATCAGCTTTCGTATGGCAGCCAAGACAGCGGCTTCGATCTGCGCAAACTGGGGGAATTTGTTTGCCGAAGTTTGGGTCTGGGAGGCATCGTTCATTTCGACGTCGCCTGAGGCGTCACAAGAAGGCTTTGGCGGTGTCGGATACAGCCACTCTGCGCGATCGACGTGAGCAGCAATCAGAGCTACTTGGTTGGCGTTGCTGAAAGCAAGGTGAGCGTTGACGAAAACGAGGATATTCGCGATCGCGCGCGACAGAGGCAGGACACTGCTGAGGGATGCCCATGCTCGCGGGTTGGTGTCGAGGACGATAGAAAGGAGAGAGGGAGTGTCTTCGCGTGAGCCGACCTCGTAGTGCTCCGAAACATCGACGGCGTCCATGGTGTCGAGGAGACGGCCGCGAGGCCTTCGAGCGTAAGCAGTTTGTCTTGCTTCTTGTAGGGTATTCCGCCAGCAAGTGTTTAACGCTGATATGCCGAGATCGTGAGAGTCGTTAGGAGATGCGATTAGAAAGACAGATGAGAAAGTATCGTAAACGTCGAATTGTAGCGGGAGGATTTAGGACATGCGCTGTTGGGTCACTCCACACCTAATAACCTAAATAAACAACGCCAACTCCAACCCCAATGCCTACCAATAGTAGGTAGTAACAGAGCTGGAGACAGATACTGTGTGACCAGGACCTGAAAGAACCTAGCAAAAAGTCATTGACGCGGCTATCATGGAAGGGGGAAAATTAAATATTGTTGGCTGGACGTCATCTGCAGGCATATTGAAATCCGAGCGCGGCTGCTGGCACCAATTAAACCTCACATCGATCCTCCCAACTACTCGCTTGAGTTAATGTCAAACGCCAGGACACGTGATAAACAGCTAAACGAAACTGAGGTTAGGTGACGGTCCCGTCTGCTCTAGCGTAAATGCCTTTGGGGTTACAGTAGGTCACTAAAAACTGACCTATGGACCTAAGGTACCTCTAGGCAAGATCTAGTGGTTAGGCTCAGTACAGGTGGTGGCCTCCACTACGCCCAGTCTCGCGAGTTTGTGTTAGGTTGTGGTAGGGTAGGCAAGTTGCTGTGGAGGCTGCGACGGGTCTTCTTGCCTTGTGCGATTTACATCACAAGTTCCAGTTTCGGTCTTTAGTTCTCATTCCTTCTGCCACCTTGTCAACTTTAACTCATCATCTAAATATTCACACGAATTAAACATCCCATCTCATGGCAGAAACCACACAAGCCGCCTCCGAGGCGCCTCCAGCCCAGTCGCTGGAGGACCAGACCCTTGTCGTATTTGCGCGCCTCATGGAAGGTGGGCAGGAAGATAACGAGACATGTCGCGATCTTGACGAACTGACCAAGCTTCTAAATGACGACTTTGAAGCTCGTCAGAAAGACACGTCTCGTGAAACCATTTGCAAGGTTATCGACGGTGATTGTGTCGACACTGTTTTGTGCTATCTTGATATGAGACAGCCTGAGATAGTCCGCGGCCACGCCACTCTATCAACATCCGCCTATCTCAAAGCTGCTGGAGACGACGGCTCCAAGAAATTGTCGACATTTTTCTTCGACCGTGTCCGCAGGGGAACATATGATGATTATATCGTTGCCTTTTGTGTCGCTGCCGCAACTTTTCCTATCGTCCCGGAACTTACGGCGCAACTGTTTCTTAATGAGGATTTCCTACCCAGCCTCGGCACTCTCATGCGACGGAAGTGGAAGAGTCGCAAGGTTGAAACGGCATGTTTGGAAATGCTTAACGCTGCTTGCATGAACTCCATGTGCCGCGAGGCCATCAACAAGTACTGCATCGAGTGGTTGGAGGAGATTGTCGACCAAGATCTTAGTGAGATTGTTAGAAGCACCAATGCGGACCCCAACCTTCAAAGCGATGGAGGCTCGATCTCTATGCGCCGTCACTCAGAGCAAGTCCAATATCTTGCTGCCGTTATCTTGGCTAAGTTAAGAGTAAGATGAGATGTCTCAATCGCCATTCAAGACTGGCTGACACAGCATCTTAGGCAGTTCCCTCAAAGCCGGCGCCCGGTGAGAGCAAATCTAGAGTCGAGCCCGCAGTTACCAGCATCGAGGAACTCTCTGGCATGTTCACTAAGATGATCTTGCGAGATGAAGATCACGGTCGGAAGCACTCTATTGAAGGTCTCGCCTACGCCTCTCTCCAGCCCAAGGTCAAAGAATCGATCGTCGATAATCCTGAACTACTGCAGAAGTTGGTCAAGACTCTTAGCGACGCACAGCCTAGATCTCCCACGACCTACGGAGCACTAAGCATCTTTGTTAACCTCACAAAGTATCTACCTAACCTGACTGAAGAGGAGAAGAAAATGAACCAGCTCAAGGCGTACGCCAATGCAGCTGGAAAGCTTGGCGGACCCGACCCCTTAAATGACGATGAACATGTGGCAAGGCGATGCAAGTTGGTGTTTGAAGCTGGCATTGTCCCGGTTCTTGTCACCCACAGTAAGAATGGCTCGCCTGCCTCTTTGGCGTTGATAATTTCCGTCATCTTCGCCTTATCTGTCACAAAATCCCTTCGAGGCCAACTTGCACAGCAAGGGGCGGTGAAGCTTCTTCTGGTATCGTGGATGTCACTGCCTCAAACTGAAGCTCCTGCGCGCCGTCTTGCTGCACAGGCACTTGCACGTATCCTCATCAGCACAAATCCAGCCCTTGTCTTTGGTGGAAACCGATCCACTCCTGTTGCTGCTGCTGTGAGACCGCTTGTGTCTATTATTCCACCCGACCCGGCTGCCCAAACTCGCGACCTCCTGCCCTCCTTCGAGGCATTGATGGCGCTGACCAACCTCGCATCCATGGACGACGAGGAGTTGAGGCGCAATATCATTTCTACCGCGTGGTCACACATCGAGGAACAGATGCTAGCCTCTAACAATCTTGTGTCCAAGGCTGCCGTTGAACTCGTCTGTAACCTTGTGCAGACCCCTGAAGCCATCGCTCTCTATGCTGAAGAGACCGCGAAGGCTCGCAATCGCCTCAACGTTCTTCTCGCTCTTGCTGATGCTCCTGATGCTGGTACACGTAGTGCAGCTGGCGGTGCTTTAGCTTCACTGACCAATTTCGAGGGGGTCATCCGAGGCATCATCAATCGAGACCGCGGTATCAAAGTTATCCTTGGAATGTGTGTCGACGATGATGAGGATATCCGACACCGAGGAGTGTTTGTGGTACTGAACTTGGTTACTGCTGAAGGCGAGGTCGGTGAATTGTCACGGGAGAAGGTCAGGAGTGAGGATGGCATTGAAATTCTCAAAGAGTGTGGCAAGAAGAGCCGACGACCTGAGGTTCTTGAGGTCACAGTTCAGGCCCTCAAAGCCTTGCTAGGAGAGCAATCATGAACGAGGAATGAAATACGTGTGTACACTGGCGCCTATATAGCGCAAAACGGTAGTTCCTCTGAGAGGGATGAGGCAGCGGGCTTACAAGTTTACAGTGATTATGATTATACAATGCAACGAATTCTATCATGATTTCTTTTAAACAAACTATAATCAAGCGCCGTGTACTTTTATGCCTTGGTATCAACCCTGTTGAGAATCGCAACGCCCTCTACGTGACCAGTCTGGGGAAAGAAATCAAAACCTCGAAGACTCTCGATCTCATATCGCTCGCCTTCTCCTTCTCCGCGCACAAGGACGCCAACATCCCTGGCTTGTGTGTGCACGTTACAGCTGACGTACAATACTCGCCGAGGACCGAATTTGCGTAGCTGGTTCAAGAAGTCTGCGTCGCAACCCTTGCGAGGGGGATCAAGAACGACAACAGTCTCGTCACGATTATAGGTGACGCTCTTAAAAAGCTCACCTGCATCAGCAGCGATAAACTTGCAGCGATCCTCACCCATCCCATTGAGGGCAGCATTGCGACTGGCGTAGGCGATTGAGTCGGCGGCAATATCAATGCCAATAGAGTGTTGGAATAGTGAGGCAAGAGTGACGGTGAAGAGGCCGGAACCTGAATAGGCATCGATGAGGTATTTGATATCCATACCGGTACCTGCAGGCGGGAGAATGTTGTCGCGGACGTAGCCAGTGAAAGAAGGGAGGATGGAGTTGTTGTTTTGGAAGAAAGAGCCAGCTGGGTTGGTAAATGTATAGGGTCCAATGTATTCAGTTGTGGTGGCCTTGGAGTCGGTGATGCACGACTTGATATCAACTGTATCTTCGTTCTCCACACGGACGGTATAAGGCTGCGTCTCTCCATTGACTTCCTCGCTATCCTTTGGCACCCGCTGGGTGTTCTCACGGAGAAGGATTGTAGCACCTCGCTGGTAGTTGCCAAACTCCTTCTGCATACGCTCACGCTCACGCGTCATACCGAGGCGCACAGCGTTAGTACCGATAGGACAGTCCTCAATGTCCAACACCTTTCGACGACCCTTTTGCATGAATCCAATGTCAGGGCATTTCTCGAAAGGAATCCTGGGGTTCTTTCCTCTCTTGCTAGGTCTGAAGCCAGGGGGCCCGTCGAAGTGAGGCGTGAGTTTAGTGCGGTAGCTGTACTGTAGCGGGCTGCCCATGGTATCCTGGACAGCGGGGACAATGTTGGGGTCGAGGTTGGAGAAGTTCTTGAAGGCCTTTTCGACAATGCGCTTCTTGAGCTTGAGTTGCTCAGAATAGTCAAGCATCTGAAATTGGCAGCCGCCACATGAGGCAAAGTACTTGCAGCTGATGCGCGCGTCATCGCGTAAGGGGGAGGGCTTTGTGATAGAGATGAAGTCGGCAAGGGTCTGGTTGTCGCGAGGAAGGTGACGGAAAACCTTCACCTTGACGATATCACCGGGGACGGCGAAGGATACAACATAGACCTGGTTTGATCCAGGCTTCATGGCAAGACCGTCTCCTGTCGATGAGAGCTCCATGACCTCGACGTCTGTCTCAGTACCTTCCTCGGGGAGGACTTCAGGGCCATGTTCTGTTCCCTCACCATACTCGACAGCTCTCTCCTTAAGTAGTGCTTGGATATCGTACTTGAGGACTTCCTCGGATGAACCCTCGGTGATGTTCTTCTCTCTCTTGGTCTTCTTCTGTTTCCACTGTCGGTTGTTTTGTTGATTGGGTCTCTTGTTTTGTTGCTGAGAGTTACCGTTTACTTGTGCACTGCCATTTGGCACAGTAGCCTCTGCCTGTACGCTCGCCATGACTGTGAAGGGTCGGAAATGGATTGGGCGCAGTGTAATAAAGGGACTTAAGGAAGGAATCCTCAGACGTCTCATCAAAATCTCTGCTCAGGCCAGGCACTTCTTTTCTTGTGAGGGAAATGTGATTTTGAAGAGACTTTGTGATTCTGACACTTTGATATTGAAGAAGATTCTTAAGACTGAAATGTTTCTTGCAGAGGGATCCACCTGAACTTCGGGGGATTGTGGGGCACCGTATGTCTACTTTTTTTAAGCTGCGTATGATTGGCTGGACAGGCTATCAACCATTCATGGAGTGGTCGAGTAGAGGTAGGTACGCTGGAATATCTAAGTGATGTACTGTACCTTCCTGGTTCAGCTGATTAATTCGTATTGTGCTTCATCTTTCTGATTTCATCACGTACAAACAACACCCACATCAGTTCTTTCTTGTCTTGATTGAGAGAACATATAGCAATTGCCTATCCACCTACTATATAGAAGTCTTTTGCAGTAGTTGTGTAATTTCTGATTGGTCTGATTGCCATCTTGGCGGAGTACTAAACAGTAAGCGGTGTCACCATAGCCATTGCCATGGTAAGATCCAGATGTATTGGCTTATAAGTGTAAAGAGTTGAGAAACAACAAAGAAGTGATGTAGGTCCTATAGTCTTCTGAGTCAGTGCTATCCGTAGGTAAGGAGCAGTTCCTCCTGACTTAGTACGTTATCGCTATCAAGACCATGATTGGCTCAGGAGTCCCTAAATTGGCAGATGATCGCCTCACAAGTCTAGCTCGCTATGCATCTACCGAGGCGGTTCCGAGTATCAGCCCTTGAGAGTGAACCTGGACAAGTCAAGGACAGCCTTTTACAATCTTGAAGAATAAAAAGCAGTGTATTGTGTCAGTCACTTAAGATCCTATGTGTTGACCACTTTCTCTGTTGCCGCTATCTTATCAGCACGCGCATCGTCGGTGTTCATCCTTTCCTCAACCACTGATAAGCACCTTAACCCTCCCGGAAGATCAGTCATCAGTTCTCGAGAGGTCTGCAATACTTGTGCAGTTGTCGATTTTCAGATTGCCGAAATTCTGTCTCTTGTCCAAGTATCTCCTACCCTATAAACTCATACATAGTATGCGATTCTTAACCAATACTGCTGCTCTGTGAAAGCCACGTACTAACCTTTCTTTAACAGATAGAGTATCTATTACCCAATGAAAATCTCATCTTTGCTACTCGCATCGAGTGTACATTATGGCTTGTTATCAGCAAGTCCCATCTTGGAGAAGTTCCTCTCTCCAGGGATAGGTACTAAGGGGGCTGTCGTGTCGGAGGCTCAAGAATGCAGCTACATAGGCCGGGACCTGTTAGCACGAGGTGTACGTCCAAAGGCCTTACCATTCATTACTTGACCAGCTAACCCCCGCAGGGAAATGCTGTTGATGCCATGATTGGAACGACATTCTGTGTCGGAGTGATTGGCATGTATCACTCTGGCATTGGCGGAGGTGGTTTCATGCTTGTTCGAGATAAGGATGGCAATTATGAAGCAATCGACTTTAGGGAATCGGCACCTTCAGCAGCCTATGAAGATATGTACCGAGGGAATGTCAATGGCAGTATCTATGGAGGCCTATCTGTCGGTGTGCCTGGCGAAGTCCGCGGCTTCGAGTATGCGCACAAGAAATACGGTGTACGAACCACAGACACTTTTTCACTCGTTCTACAAAGCTAACAAACACAATCAGAGCCTCCCCTGGGAAACCATCTTGCAAGGGGCTATCAAGGTCGCTCGTGATGGCTTCATAGGTAAAGCTGAATCCAACCATATAGAACAACCGGGCTAATATAGCTTAGTCAATGCCGATATGGCCAGATTTATTGACAAGACAGCCAAAGGGCATCATAACTTGTTCATCGAAGATCCTTCATGGGCGGAGGACTTTGCCCCGAATGGTAGGCTTTGCTTGGTTTGGGGTTAAACTTGTGTTGACATCAAAACAGGACGACTTATTGCAGAAGGTGAGAAGATGACAAGAAAGCGATATGCGCGGTAAGTTTGAGACCAGCTTCAAAGCCCCCTAACTCTACTAATTATTCTAGCACTCTTCAAGCTATCGCAGATCATGGCGCCGATGTCTTCTACACTGGTCCTTTGGGTAAGCATAGAGCTTTGTGAGCCAACTGAATACTGACACCGAATAGCGGAAAGCATGATCAAGACTATCCAAGATTCGAATGGCACCATGACATTGGACGATATGAAGGACTACCAAGTTATCTCCCGCGAGGTCCTTCACACCGACTACAAAGGCTATTATGTCTACGGCATGAGTTCTCCAGCGGGTGGCGCAGTTTCGCTCAACATTCTAAACACCATGAACGGCTACTCGCACCAGGATGCAGATCAGAACACCACACTGCACATCTATATCGAAGCAATGAAGTTTGCTTATGGCGCTAGACTGCGCCTCGGCGATCCTGATTTCGTCGATGGGGTCTCGGGGCTCGAGCACGAGATGCTCAACCACACGACTGCCGACAAGATTCGAGAAAAGATTGATCCTTGGACGACTCAAGATATTGAGAAGTATGATCCCGATGGGATTTACTCATCAGACGGTCACGGTACTTCACATGTCGTTACTGCAGATCGTGATGGCATGGCTGTTTCTTTGACCACTACTGTAAACCTGATCTTTGGATCTCTCCTCATGGACAACCTCACTGGAGTGATTTTGTAAGTCGATCAACAGTCCCTAACCTGTTCCAGAGCTTACATGTGCTAATAAACTCTAGAAACAATGAGATGAACGACTTTTCCATTCCAGGTGTTCCAAACGAATTTGGTTTCGCTCCAGCAGAAGCCAACTTTATCCGTCCTAACAAACGTCCTCTTTCGTCGTGTACACCCCTCATCGTTTCCCACAAAGACGGCTCCTTGTTTGCAGTAATTGGCGCCGCAGGAGGGTCGCGTATCATTTCTGCTACTACCCAAGTTGCCTGGCGTGTCCTGACTTCGCCGTCTTGGTCTATCAAAGATGCTGTCCGTGAGCCGCGTGTTCACAATCAGCTCATGCCTAATACTTTGCTTGTGGAAAACAAGTTCAGTTTATATGACGTTCCGTCACTGAAGGAGAGGGGCCATAATATCACCTGGGTCGACGAGGGGTTAAGTTCGGTGCAGGCTCTGATCAGAGACTTGGATGGCGTTTTTGAGATTGCCCCTGAGCCCAGGCAGAAGAACAGCGGAGGTGCAACGCTTTAAAGAAGGAATAGAATCATGTTCTGTTGTTGCTGTTGATTTATTCGAGCTGACAAATGCTTTTGAATGCTACAGCGACGAGTAGGAACGAGACTATGGCTAATCTCTGCGCCGGATATATTAATGATTCTATATGGTCTCTTTCTTGGGCTCGGCTTTTTCCTGTCTAAGAAGAAAAGGGGGTATCCTTTCAATTGTCTGCATTAGACCTACGCCTCTCGTCTCGCTAGCGATACCAAACGTGCCATCTGGACCGTCCACTTCTTTGCGAACTCTTCTTCAGTGAATCTTTTGGCGGACTCACGTGCTCGTAGCCGGACCGAGAGAGGATCTGGAAGTGACAAGGCCTTCTCGTAGCCCTCTGCGAATTCTTCCTCCGTTGTAGCATGAAAGCCTAGGCGCAGTGGTTAGCAAATAATTGACTCGACAAGCAACAACTTACCTGTTGGCTGGCTGTCGATCGGCACAACAATGTCAAACTTGGGGCCAGCGCTATCATGTACCACGGAGATGAGACCAGCGGCTTGGTATTCCACGACACCAATCCCGAAGTGTTCATTCCACATGCCGTTGACGCCCACGGATGCCTTTCTCAGCCATTCTAGAACCTCTGACCAAGGAGCATCAAGGTGGAACTTAACACTGTTCTTGATACCAAGTTCGTTGGCAAGAAGTCGTAGCTGATACACACGTTTCGCGTCGGAATCATCTCGAACGCTTCCAATCAAGATCAAATTTGTACCCTTAGCTGCCTCGCTCTTAGTCTTGAGGAAGGCGGCAAATGATCGAAGGATGAGCTGATGATTCTTCTCGGGTCGGAATTGCGCAAGATAGACAATGGCTTTCTCTCGTCGTTTTTCGCTGTCCTGGGAGACTTCGACCTCGCGTTCCATCTCTCGAACTGCGGTAGGAGGGTAGACGACTGCAATCGGATCTGTTTTGCTCTTCTCTTTTCGGTATGGACCCCACAAGCTCTTGATGTGACCTTGAGTCCAAGTCGAGTTTGTCATGACAACATCTACTGACGAACCAACCAAGGAGTAAATCACGGCAAAAAGCTTCCAATAGTTCTTCTTGGCGAAGCCCTGAGCCCCAGCACCCTTTCCAGCGTGCGCGCCCTGAGTTCCTGCGTCCGCCTTTGCATCAAGAGATTCGAGCATATCCGTGGAGATTGTAGGATAATGCACATACGCTCCGGTCGGAACACTGGGAAAAAGAAATTTGCATAGGCCGAGAGCAAAAGCGTAGCCCATCGTGTCGACGAACACATCAGGAACCAAGAGCGAGAAAGCATCCCAAGCCAAAACAAGAGAACCAAGGGACTGGCCAAGCAAGGTGAAATAGGGCCAAGTAGAGGGAAGAACCCAGTCTCGTTTGGATAGGTAGAGAAAGGTTATCGTGGGAGCGTGAAGCTCAATGTTGAATCTGGTCTATCAGGGTGTAAGCACGTCGTTGGTTGACTCATAAGTTCTTCAGCCGACGTACCTTGACTCGGGACAAAATAGCATCCTTAGTAACATCATGATCGCCAGTATACACTACACATTTCGCTTTTGGCCAACGATCTTGCGTGGCCCGGATCGCAGCCCAGAGAACCCGCTCTCCGCCGCCTCCGGCATTGCTTGTTTGTATTAGCACGGTTCCATGATAGCTCCACAACAACGTACCAGAATGGATGGAAGAACCCAACAATACCAGCCCAGTCTTTCTGGGCACTCAGTGTATTTTGCAGGCTATCGTCGACATCGAATACGAGCTTCGTTTCAGCGCTACCTTGAGGATCGTTGGCGCGAGCAGCTGAGTCCTCCTCCGTCATGAGAGACAGGAGATGGGCGCGGCGACCGTCTGTTCGTTTTTGAAGGGACCATCCTAGGAACTGGCGAAGAAACTTTCCTAACAGGGGTATAGCGATCAGAATGACCAGAGGCACGAATGCCACTGGGGGAGGCATCGTTGGGATCGTCTTTCGTCGGCTCTATAGGTGGTGGAAGAGGCGGGATATGGTTTGGCGAGGTCGAAGAAAGATGGTAAAAGAATTAGAATACCCCGTAAAGAGGACGTTAGGAGAGGAGGTATTTATGTAAGCCTCAAGGGCGTCAGGTGGAAGATTTGTGGTAGCAAAAGGCCACCATGAGTGAGCAAGAATAAGTGCGATGATAGTGTGAGGTGAGGTGACGTCTACTCTAGGTCCCGTCCCGTTTCGTCTCAAAAATTGGTGGGGGATAGACCTACCGAGCTACCTCAGGTAGGTAGGTACCTAGATAAGCTAAGTTTAGGTACTGCTAAGCTCCAAGCTGTCCACTGGGGCTGCACTGCAGCTATACATGCAGGGGTTTGAGGCTCTAACCCCAGTCAATGGACCCTTCTAGCGGTGCCCGCGGACAGGATGAATTGAAGGTATTCAGAGATTTCGGCAACGTATCCGTATCATCTTCCGGACCGTATGATGTTTGTTTAACAATGGCGATGCGATAGTTTCGGGTGTTTACCATTCTAGGGTTTGTTGACACGTCTTCTCGGTTGACAGCCAGAGTTTGGCAAACTCTATCTTCGAATGTGTATGTAGAATTTTGAAAAACATTAGATAGGTTATTCAGCAATTAGTTTTAGGTAGTTCATTCATGGATCCGGCGTGATCGAGACGTTGAACAACAGAGAAGTGTGTCATGGAACTCGTGGAATTGCAGCGTTGAGATATAGGTTCTCATTGGCCATGCGCTATAAGAAAATAAAAATAGCCCCAGTCCAACTTCATCTCATTGATCTCAATGAATTCACTTCCGAACCTCACTCACCCCAACCAAGAGATCGATCACACCCGAACCCACGGGATTTATGAAATGAAATGTCTCTCCTCAGGCGAACCGCTTACTCTATATCGCCTCATGCTAGGCCGTTTCTTCCAGTCACCAATCTACCGCGCCGCTCAGTTGGTATTTCACAACCAGCTCTCACCAATTCCGTAACTTCACCATGCGCCAGCCGAAGGAATTTCTCCGTCGCTTCTGTGCTTGGAGACACAGTTACTGCCACAGCTGACAGTCTCAGTTGGGCACATAGCTTAGGTATGCCATGGTATGTGGCTATCCCATTGCTTGCTGTAGGCATCAACGCGACTATTCGATTCCCACTTCAACTTTACGCCCGCCGTCTGCGTGAGGCTAGAACTCCATTGAAGCCCCTGGTACAAGCCTGGGGAAGTCGCCATGTCAGGGAAATGGCTGACGCCGAACTGCCTTATCGAATCCAGAAAGTTCGCATGGCGGGTGCTACTGCCAAGTCATCAAAACGAATTTACAAGGCATGGGGCGTACAGCGCTGGAAGAGTCTTGTGCCGCTGCTTGGAATGGTCCCCTTTGTCACCGTATCCGAAGCACTACGACGTAAATGCGGTGCCCCCTTAGGCTGGATCAGTCACCAGATCGGTCTGAGTAATGCAGATTCAGTAACTGCAGATCTTGGAGCTGCGAGCAGCATGTTCGACGAGTCGTTAGTGAACGGAGGGTTGCTGTGGTTTACAGATTTGTCTTCTGCGGATCCCTACTACGGTTTACCTATCATCTGCTCGGCGATTCTTGCCTCGAGTGTTTGGAGCAAGATGCCGATCAAAGAATTGCTCAACATACAGCCTAAAGACGGAACTGATCGCCAATTTACCAATCGATTGCAAATACTTCTGGGCAGGACTTTGCTCTTGATGCCCGCATTACCCATTCTCTTTGCTGACTTGCCCTGCGCCATCTTTCTCTATTGGAGTACGTCGTTCGCCCTCACCTGGGCCAACCAGTTCTTCTTGACACGATTAGTCACACCAAAAACCGCAAGTCTGACGGTTCCCAGGATGAACAAAGAGCTCCCCTTTCTCCTGCCACGCCAGTCACAAAACGAAGGAAAGTCTTAGACAAGAGCAATCGATTAGAGCTTTGTCTGTAACTACCATTGTGTGCCCCTATAGCTGTATACCTGAAAATAAAACTCCGATAGACGCCTTCAAAAAGAAAACAAGAACTGGCCACCCATAATCGTCAAGGCTGCGCTCAAACAATCTAGTCAAGGACAATGGCAAGGATAACAATGGTCAGAATGACAGCAAGGATCAGCAACAGGCAACAACTCTTGTTGCGGGCTGCCTTTTGGTACCGCGCGGCCTGTCGGTTCTCAATGTCAGCCTGCTGCGTATCTTCTCGGACACCTTCCACAGTGTCCGCGAGCGTGTGAAGCTGCTCTCCCTGTTCGTTCACAATTTGCGCTACTTGTCGGAAGAGAACGTTCAGGTCGCCAACGCCCTGCTCAATGTTGCGGATCTCCTCCTCACGCTCGATGATAAGAGCTTCCTGGAAGTCGACTTCATCTTGAGGTGCGAGTACAATACGCTGTTCCTGTTGCTGCAGTTGCTCCAACTGGGTTTCGGATGGAGCGCCCTCGGCGGATTCGCCATCCTGTGCCGCACGGGCAGCGGTAATTGATGCGCGCTCTTTTTCCAGGGCACGTCGCTGGAGGTTTAAAAAGTCGTCGAGAGCAGCTCGGAATTCGCTCGACACCTTTGTTTGTTCATACTTTTGTTGTTTCTGAGTAGAATTAGCATGCGATACAGGATTCGAAAAGGTTCAACATACGGTCAAGTCCTCCCATGTTTGAAGCCGCTTGACACCGTCGCCGATCTCATTACACATATCCTTCGTCTTCTCCATACTTTTGTGAACTCGCTCCCGCAGTCGCGGTGTATCCTTCCTAGTTCCCAGCACGTTGACATCGTTGGCGAGCTTTCGATTGCTGCTGAGAAGGGCCTGGACTTTGCTCTTCAGCTCGTACTGTAGCTCTTGGAAGGCTGGGTCATCGGTATAGCCTCCGCGGCCGGATTCGAGGTCAAATGACATGATGCTTATGGGCTGTGAGGGTTTCTAGTCGAATTCAGAAGCAGAAAGTCGCTATAAACAAATATTACGTTTTGTTGATGTATAGGTAGAATAACGAGATGGGCAAATGCGCCAGCCAATGTTGAATCAAGTCACCTGTTGCCTACCTAACTTAGTACGGTGCCTACAGTAGAAGGTGGCTGAGGTTCCATATCAACAATCAATCAAGTTAAAGCGAAACATGGAAGACATACGTAATTGGACATGAGGACGAGTCTAGCCAACCACAGACAAGTCGGACCTGCACTATCAGCACGTGACTGATAGTAATGGAGCTTCGCTTGCACCTTGCGCTGCTAGCGTCTATGATGAGTGGTTGCTGGCTGGAGATTTTTATTTACTTGGATCGAGCTTAGAGCTTCCAGCTTCCATTCTTAGTCTTCCTCCGAAACAACCTCGACATCATCGCAAAACAATCTCCCGAGCTCTTCTTTATCTCAGGGATGCGCTGTGAAGATGGCAGCCACCACTGTTAGAAAGGCGCCTTATAAGGACTTCTTGCAGCCAGCTCTGCATAGGCGATTTACCTCAACTGCCACTGTTTTGCTGATTGTATCGTATCTTCAGGCTCTTCTCTTGGATAACTGGACTTCTTGTCAGTCGGAATACTCTGGCCTCACATACACTTTGCTAATTGACCTTCCTTATAGACTTCTGGGCATGGTTTCCCATTGGCCCTGCTGGCTTCCGAACTGCCTTCATCTTCACATGTGGCCTTGCGATCGTCGTGCTCCGAATAGCAAACTACCACGTTGGCCTACGTACAACCGGCTCCGGTTTCCAAACCTTCCGAAGCACAATCACGCAACTTAAAACGTACGAGACTTTGTTTTGGTATGGCTTTTCAAGCTTGCTCTTCAGTCATGTTTTTCTCTGGGCAATGTCTTCTGGGGCAAACCTATCCTGGATCACCTACTTCCACGGAGATCGCGCGAGACTCAACGAAAGGCCGCTTTTCCTGCTGGCCTACATGGTGTCATGTGCTATTACGCAAACATTCAACCATTATCGAAAAGACACCGATCGCCTTGTGCTCGGATTATCAAAGGGCAAAAATGAGAAGCAACCCGACGCGTTGAAGCTCGTTTACTACGCAATTCCACACACCTTCAGCGATTCTGTCGGAGGTGCTGCCACCGCGCTTCCTGTCGCTATGGTGCTATATTACGCTATCCTTCGATCCTTCATCTGGGGCTGGGCACTCATGTTCTTGCGCATCTTTTACAACCTACCCAAGACCAACATGCTCCCACCTACTTGGCCCAGCGATCTTTGGCTTCTATTCCGCTGTATGGAGGCGGGAACCTTGGTTCACCTGATTTGGAACATCGGTAACTTTGCTTTCTCTTCTTTCATGGTCAAGGCGCCCCTGAAGAACGGCAAGCCTCTTACCTCTGAGTCCAAGGACCCCAATGGCAGTCTTCTGAATGGACTTAAGAGCAAGAAACTATCCATTAAGGTAAGCTTGTATGCAACAACCCAAACCCACGGATCTTCCTAACTTATTTAGGCATTCGCCATGTGGGAGCTTGCATATATCGCCCAGGGCTTCGACACACGTCGACAGGCTATATACGAAGACATTGACCGCAAGGACGGACCCATGTGGTCCCAAGTTTACTCCATCTGCTTAGACGTAGTGAAGTCTATCGAGACCAGAGTCGACGCCTACGGCAAAGCCCCTGATGCGCCTCCCGCTGCACCCAGTGCGGAACCTAAACAGCGTGTGTCTGCTCCTCTCCGGGATGACCCTATCTTCAACACCCGAACAGCGTCTACAACGATGCGAAGCGAGGTTGAGAAGCGACTAGGTCAGGTCGCACGATCCCCTGGCGAGTCTCCTGCCTCCAAGCTTAGCCCAATTGCCAAGAAGACATGGAAGGAAGCCAAGGACCGGGTCTTGACCAAAGAACAGCAGGAACTTGTCGCTCCTGAGCACCTTAGGGGACAGTTTGAACAGTGGACGCTTCGAATGATGGAGATTGACGTTATTGCTTCTCTGTTCCAGCAAGACTTCCGAACCCGATTCGCCGCCGCGGTGCTGGGAACACCGTATGCCGAGCCTACACTCTGCATTAACGCGATTCACGTACTTCACCATCTTTCAGTGCATAGTTTGGCGGAGGACCAGTTCGGCAACGTGCACAGAGACGTGCCCAGCATTATTCGAACCTTTACAACCGTCATCAAAAAGCTAGAGGCTTTCCGCATCGAGTTCCCGTTGCACTGGACCGACGTGTCATGCAAGAGAGTGAGCCCCGAGGTGGAAAAGGTTGTGGATGCTTTGAAGACGGCTTTGCAGCAAGTATTGGCCAATTTCGAGCCCTATAGCAGTGACCTCAGGTTGACGCTGACTGATATTCGGTTGGCCAAAGAGGCTTGCGCAGATGCAAAGAAGTCTGAGATGGCAGAAGTTGGATCATGAGAATTGAGAGGAGGGAATGTATAAGGTTGATGAGACTTGGGGTAGACTAATGTATTATGATACCATTGTAACAATTTGTAACTGGGGGAAGAAGAAGCATCTATAATTAACAACCACCTACGTACCTACATAAATTCTTGTCTATACATACGGACGGATACCTCAATATGGAAGCTTGGATCCAATATAAGATGACATTGAAGCGTAATTAAAGTGACAGTGGGGCCATGGGCCTCCTGGTAAACCGTGTTGACGGGCCGTGTCCGTCTTGATAAAACACTGTTTTGTCCTATTCCAACCTCTTTTTACTATACCGCACTCCAACTCTACTTGGTTTGATTGCGTCAATCAACCATCCAATGGTTCACCCTTTGGACATTCGATTCGCCCATCCCAGCCCCCTCAGCAACCAACTACAGTGACACCACTCACTGGATTCACTCATTCAACCTCTTGCTACTGCCCGTACTCCAACCTAATTTTCTTACTTTATTTAGTCATGTACCATAATTCATCCTTATTCTGTTTCTTATCGATTTCCAGGTCATAGCGGCCTTTGACTGCATCGCAACTGCGACTGTCTTTGGCCTACCTATGTATGGACTAGAACTATGGCGTCTCCCGTATCCCGCAGACGGCTCGTCGCCTCCATCATCTATCGCACGCTCTACGTTCTTCTCTATGTTTGTCTTCTCGGACTCTTAATAGCTACTCCAGCCGATGCGATCCATCGCTCGTTCCAAAACCGACAGCTCTATAACATCTGGATTCTAATTGCCGCCTACGTCACTGCCATCGTTGTTGTTTCCTTCGTCTTTATCACCCGCCTCTATATCAACAAAACCGAGTTGGGATCGATACCAAAGGGATGGGTGCCTATCGAAAAGGGCGATCTGCGCTCGACTGTTCACAAGGTAATCGGCTTGGGTCTTGGCCGCAGTGCATCAATCGCATACGAATCACGTCCAAGACTTCAGACTGAAAACACAGCCTCTGATGACGAAAATGTCGAAACGAGAGTCAAGATGGGTTTCGATGGCCCTGAAGGCCCCGCGGAGGAGCTTGTGGTGGTAATACCTCGTCGAAAACCAGTATGGGGAGATATTGAGCACTACGGATGGTCCTCGCCCAACACGCCCGATCTGCCCAACCTCGAGTACTCAACCGTCTTCTCCGAACTTCCCAATCTTATCGAAGGCAAGGCTTTGACTCTTGCACCCCCCGATCCGACCTCTGAGACAAATCCACCTCTACTCGATCCCGAGGCTGTAGCTCTCCTCCAGCGAACCGCCAACATGAGCTTGCGCGACTACGTAGTTCATCTTGCCGGGTTGGGAGTACTCACCATGGACGCAAACGCTACCAAGTTTCTTTCACACTATGAATACGCTCGCTTCTCTAATCGACCCATTTCTAATGCTCAGTTCAAAGAGCTGATGCACCTTTTTGCTGAAATTCTCCGCGCAATGGAGCCTCTGGACCCGAACATCCTTGACGATCAAGAAGAGGCATCCTCGCCATCCACCACCGGCGATGACGATACCAGAAGTGGCACTTCTCGCAGCAATCTAACACCTTCGGATGCTGCCAGTATCAGTAGCTCTACTCGACGATTAAGACATCAACCTTCAACTAATACCTGGAACGTCTACCAGACCGCTCCTAATAGTATGAGAAGTGGAATTACTGGACGAGGAACTTTGTCACGAAGATCAAGTAATAATAGTCTTGCTCAAAGTCAGCGCCGATACCCCATGAGCCACCCGTCAACCTCAAGCCTTCGGTCCAAGTCTTCAGGCAGCTCCGGGTCTGTCATTCGATTGGCTACGCACCATGATTCTACAGACCTGCCCTACGTGCTCAGTCTAAGAGATACGACTGCTAGCTATTAATCGAATGGTCACGAACGTGAGTAATACAGAGCAAAGGCACTTAACGTTTACGAAATTACGACTCGAATAAAACATTAGCGTATAGATGGGTAGAGGCTGTTTGGTTTTCTTAATTATAATCAATTCTAGTAAATATTTAAAAAGCACGTAGATAGATTTTTAATTTGTTACTATTATTATGGTGTTTCTTCAATGGTTTGTTAATGTTGCAGACGTTCCTCTGCAGATAAGATAAGCACCCAGGCTAGAATGTCGCATATGAAATTCTTCTGCGAAAGCGTCAAACTTGAACTGTCAATTTTTCCGTCTAGCACTATAAACATTTTATTGCCGACTCGCCTTGTATCTAATAAGATCAGATTATTGTTTCTTTCTAAACCCTTATATCCTCCCCTATATCAATCGCATCACAGCTACAAGTCTCAATGGCTCCTAAACCACCACCGCCTCTGCCTGTTGCAGACAACTACGCCTCCCTCACAAACCGTATTTCCCTCTCTATCGCCTCGAGATCGTCCATTCTCAAGACCATGAACCAAAACAATCCTGCGCCGGTAAAGCGCCGCGCCATTCCAGACGACAACGACGAAGATCTCACTCGCGGTACACAACCGAATACTGGAGTCGGCTACGTGCCTGAGAAGAAAGACGTGCAGAAACACGCCAACTCTAAGGAAGAGAGGTTCCTGAGGGGTAGAGTCGGTAAGGGTGCTACGGGTAAGGCGAAGAAAAAGGTCGAGGAGAGCGAGAGCGAAGAGGAGGTTGGAAGGAGTGCACTAGGAAAGAGAAAGAGGTTGCGAAAGGAGGTTGCTGGACCTGAGCCTGAGCCTGAGAACCAAGCGTTGCCTACAACGACGGGCGAGAGAAAGGAGAACAACACAGGCGAAGCTCAGGCTGAAGCAGATATTGAGATGAAGAATGGTACAACCAAGGAAGAGAGCACAAGTCTTGAGGGAGTGGCAGCCAACAAGTGCAAGAGTAAAAACAAGAAGAAGAAGAAGCAGAAAACTGAGAATGCAAAGGCAGAGGAGCCTGTATGAGAGCTTGCAAGTCATTGTTAATTAATAAGATACCCCAAATCCGATGTCTAATCTGTCGATTACTTATACTTCGAGTCACCGTTGTTCACTTGGAGAGACCATTGGACGAACTGAAAGGAGCGAATATACTTCTTCAACTCCAAAATGATTTAAGATCGTAATATGGTGCTATACCGATGGTGGTCATTAATTCAAAATACCCTATCCCATGATAACACCCTCAGATGGTATAACCCAGCACCAACCATGCAACTCCTTCAAGACCAATATATTCGTCCCATGAGTGTACTGAAAAGAATTCACTGTGTCAACGAGGGCGAGAAGAAATTCCACACGATTAAACAAAATGCCTGCCATGGAATTGCAATGCGTCACGCTGGTGATGAAGAAAGCCTCCCATGACCGTCCTCTAGCCCGTCCCATGTCCTATACTCCAAAGTAGGCTTCCTTTGCCATGAAAGTGCAATTGTGTGCATGGTCTGATATGATGTCTGCGAATGTCCAAATATGAAATCTGTGTAGTATGTACGCGGCATGCTTCTGTTAAAGAATACCGATGTATCCATCGAGATAAATGAAAAGTTCCCGGGTCAGCCGGTGTGATTATGTTATATTTTTAATGTTATTGCCGTGTATTTTTATTGCATTCGCTTTCGCTTTCTGTCGTCGTCCCCTCTAGGGTCCTCGTCTTCGTCTGATCGCTCGGCGGTATCGCTGGGGTTCAAGATATGCGCCATACTTCCACGTCGAGTTGCCGGGGCCGAGTGATCTTTTACAGAAAGATTCTTGTTCTCACGGCCAGCAGAACCCCATGACCATCCCCCAAAAGTATCTGAACCTCCACCAATTCCGTTCGCGAATGGTGGTGGAGGAGTAGTTGGTCGTGAATGGGGATGTACTTGAGATGCATTTTGTAGCGAGTATGTCGACAGGGAGTCCCGGATACGCTGCTCCTCTGGGGCCACTCTGCTGGGTGAGGGCGGCCATGCACCGGATGGTGCGCCGGAACTGAAGGGAGAAGGCGTCGGTTGCCAGCCGTGAGCACGAATATCGGCGGCCGTGTGGCGGCGTGCTAAGCTTCCAGGGCCAGGAACAGTCTCGACGTTGGACAGAGGATGAGGAGCGGGAGGCGGAGGTGGAGGACCTGTGCGCAATGGAGACGACTGGGTGGTGCTACTGCCACTGATAGAACCATACGGTCTTCTGGTACTGGTTGACAAGTTTGAGGGCACTGGCGGTTTGTAGAAGTTCTGACTGCGCGCTGAAGGAACGCCCAAGGTGGGACCCCGTCGCTGGTCATCTTGAGCCAGCTGTCTCGGGGATACTGGAGCATTCTCAACCCCAGCAAAGTATTGCTGCCGACCAGTATAGGGAGGCTCTTGCGGTGGCTCGTCGATCGTTCTGAGGACATCAACCTGCCTTTGGATCTCTCCCTGTAAAGTAATCACTAAAAATGTGTTAGATGCTGTCAACACGTTTGTAAGGAGTGGTACGCACCATCGCGGGAGATTGGGCTCTCTGCAGGAACAAGGGATAACATAGTCCTGGAGAGCTCTTGGTTAAAATGAAGCAGTCGGTTCATGGTTTCCATGGTCGCTTGGTTCTTGACATGCATATAGTGAGCTGCCTCTTCGCTTCTTTGCAGACGATTGCTCAAATCAAACAGTGTATGCTCAATGTTGAGCAATCGGGCGTCGGCACTGTCTGGTGGAAGAGGAACGGGCTCGGCCGGAGTGCCCGGTTGCGATGTCGCAGGTTTCGTATAATTGCTTTCGCGGTGTACAAGGGCATGTCTGCTAGCTCGACGCTTGATCTCACGTAAACCTACGAGATCACCGCGCTTGAAGTTGCCGTTGCCATGCTTGAATTCCCATAGTGTCGTGTCAGGGTTTCCCGTGTGGAAAACGTCGCGTTCTGGTACGAATTAGTGATTATGATTGGTTCTGAAATCTGAAACCCGCAAGACTTACCCTTATGAAAGCCGTACATGTTGAGCTGTCTCACAAATGAAGATATGTTGGTGTGCTTAAAGTATTGCCTGGCAGGCGTTAGCCGCGTAACTAATTGACCAGTTCGAGGTTGTTTGGAACGCACGATAGGACTTTTGAGAAGTCGGCTGAGGGCGACATAACGAAACTTTCAGCGCTCGCTGACCAGGAGATCAGATGTTGAATGTTTGGGTCTTCCAGCATGCTAGCGTGACGTTAGCAAGTCGTGGTGATGCTTCTAGCAGCGCAATCTCACTTGTAGAGCTTGTGAATAAAGGCTGTCTGAACAATTTTGGGCTGGTGTACAGCAGCGGCCGCTGGCGGGGGCGCAGGCATGCTATTGGAGTTGTTGGTACTGTTGTTCGTGACATTGTTGGTATCGGGCGCAGGAGAGTTCTTGGGCCGGTCGTTTGGTTTGCCGTTGCCGTTGGCTTCGGAGTCGGAGTTGTGGTTACCGTTAGAAGATGGCGCGGGTGAGGTTATCTCCATTGGATCGCCGTTACTGGGAGGAGACATCTTGATCGTCGGAGTTGGAATGGGGATGATGCGAGCGCCCATTGACTGATGACTGTGAGAGAGGGAGGTAGAGTGCGGGAAGGTGTCAGTCCTGACGGCCATGTGCGCTGTAGCCATGATGGTTAGTCGACAAGAAAGGACATGTACAGACGGTCAGGGTCAGGGTCGACAATGCTTGCTCTTGAAGAAGAAACAGAGAATGCAAGGAGAAACGGGCGGCAGACGAGAACGGGAGGAAACGGGGAGGTTAAAGGATGGAGTACATAGATAAATGTAGGTAGGAGGAGGGTGAGCTCAAGCCTAACGGGGGTGTAAAGATGAGATGAGGTGGGTGTGTAGCAAAGTAAACTTTGAGACGACGACGAACGATGTGGGAAAGGAAGGGGAAAGGAACAAAGGCCGGCCACAGGGACGGTATCGCGGGTGCGAGACTGTGGATCAGAAGCCGAGAGACACCGGGGGATGAAGCGACATCAAGTGGTAGCGGAGTCGGGATCGGGACCGGTCGACAGAAGGTGGAGGAGGGAACGTACAGTACAGTTGATGCGATACGATACGATACGATTTGATGCGATGGACTGCGCTGCTTTGCGATGCGATGCGATCACTGGGCGCGTACTGTACTGTACTGAGCAATACTGAAGAAGGTTACCTCATTCTCTGGATGCGCACGAGAGTATGAGCGGGTGGGACAAGGAATGTCTTGCAGGAAAAGACAGCCTGAATTGGATCTGGTTCAAGCGGTTCCCAGCGTCGGTAGGCGAGGCGAGCTGCGTGATGTCGCTTCGCTTGAGTAGGTGCAATAATTATGGAAGGAAGTGACAGACAATGAGAGGCAAACGACGAACTGGGATGCGGTAATAGCCCACAGACAAGAACGGCGATTTGCAGCTGGGCTGGATGGTCCCGTCTGGTCTGGTTGTTGGTTGTTGGTTGGAGCAAAACCCAGACCACAAGCTCTCAAACTAGAGAGAGAAGAGATTCAGGTAGGTAAGTTAGGTACTCGTTACTGTAGGGGGAATAAGTACTGCACTGTACGCACGGTACAGTACGGGGGTACGTAAAGTTAGCTTAGCTTGGGTCTTAGCTTGGGTTCCATTAGTAGGTTTAGGTGACACCCGCTCAGATGGCCGCTGCTGATCAGCCTCGCATAGGGGCTTTTTCTTCTTTCCTTCTGGACTCTTGGTTTTCTAGAAGGCGGGGAGAGGAGGCAAGATTGCTGCCGACTCTATCTTGGCACGTCAACCAGATAACAGGCTCCGGACAAAGGGCACAGTTCAATCAGTCTGTATGTACAGAGTACCTACACAGACACAATGACGATAGGCGAAACAGCACAGATCTCTGGTAGCGTTCGCACAGCTCGGTGATTCCGCGAAGACCAAAGTGCTTGTCTGGTCAAGTGTCAAGGCCCTCTTAGCTAGGTTTGACGTTCCAGTACAGTAGTCGACGAATGGCTGCGGCTACTGCACCGATGGCAATGACACCAAACTCAACCTAGGAACAGGCGGGGAGAGCTGGAAGATTGGCGAGTGGCGGCCGAAGGAAGAAGGACTGAGCGCTGGAGAGAAAGCTTCTAGACAGTGTGAAAGAAGACGGGAATGCGCAGGACTTGTGAAAGTGGTTTTCAAGAAGGTGCTGAGATTGGAAAAGCTCGCTTCTCTAGTCAGACCCAGGTAGCTGGTTGATATGAGCGTGCTTTCGGGGTAGTGTACTGTACTGTAACTAGACGGGAGGGACAGGACGAGACTACCGTAGTGAAGAGAGAGGGAGAAGGAAGAGAACCTCGCGATCTGCTGGCTTGGATGGATTTCTTTTTCTGGATCTGCAGGGAAACGGATGTGATCATTATCAAATGGACCCAGGAGCCAGGATTGGAAATTTGGGGACATGGCTCTGGACAGTAACATGGATACCATGGAGATAGGATGGGGATGGGGTTAGCATTCGTGGTTAGGTTAGTAATTACCTACCTAGGTACAGTACAGTACAGTTAGTACATGAGAGAGAAGCTGGCTGTTCAATTCTCAAGAGAAACCCACCACACCCACCACACCCACTCCAACACCCAATACCCAATACCCACATTGTTGTTCCATGTTCCATCCAATGGACAGTCCCCTACGCTCACTCTCGACGTCTCACTGTGGGAATGATTTCGAGGCGAATTAATAACTATGTACAATCCTCATGTTGCTTTTCTCTGTCGCTGGTCTGAACCCATGCTCAAGACAGCAGCACAGCACAGGATGATTGGCCATTGTCACATTTACCAAAAGCAGCAGCGCATATGAAATGTAGCTGGTTCTGGATCAATGCCTCATATGATCCATCGCCGGTTGGAATGAAGTTCCAGCGCCCAGGCTATAGGAACACAATCCATCATGTCGGCGTTACAACCAAGACTTTGACATGTCCGTTGGAGAGCGATCACAGTAGTTGATGGAACAATAGAAGCATGTGTACATATAGCGCCACCAAGATTGATCCATCATTGCACCGTCCTTGAAATCTAGTGGCGGCTTCAGAAGCAGATGGCTTCAAGAGCCAGAGGCATTAAGGAAAGGCTTATGAGGAAAGAAGGGCCCGGGACATTCAGTATCTTTTCCTTGGCGCCTTGCCGTATTCTTCTCATCAATGGTGTGGTCGGGCTGGTGTCTAGGAACGCTGGGAGGCAAACTGCAATGTGTGGCGCCCAGCCTCGATGGCCTGAGGAGGATACCCCGATAAGTATCGAGTATTGACGACAAGGGGAAAGGAAAGAATGGGGAAGTACTGATAAATTCCAGAATTCAAATGGCCTAGACCTCTGTCTGTTGTATCAGCACACAATCAAGTGGATGTTGGTATACTTAGTAGTATGGCCGAAATCTGTGGAAGAAAATTCAGAGGCATGGCTGGTCATCACAAATGAATGGCTCCTAACAGCCCGAACTTAGGGACGTTTCCCAACTCCTGTGCGTGGGACCCCGGATACAACAACGTCCAAAGAACAGAAATAGAGAAAAAGCCTCAACGTCGCTGCATATCATCCGTGTCCTCGGGGCCGATCCATCGTGGCCGGTCAGAAAGCCGCTGTTGCGAGATCGGAAATGCCCTTGATGATTGTTTTGTCATGAGAAGCAATAGCTCTAGTAGTCTCCCCACAACTAACCAATGTCAGCATGTCAAAGACATCAACTGTTATAGATAACGTACACCCAACTCGCACACAAAGACTGTGGCTGTCGGATATCATGAACCGTTAGTACGGTAATTGTAAGAAGAGGTCGTAATTACGGAGGACAAGGCAACTCGAATCAATCTTTTGCTCGGACCCTCTCTGCCTCTGGCTCTGCCTCTGCTAAAGTCTAGCTCTCAACCAAATCAAGGGCTCCGCTTGTGATACCACGGTGAGGGTGAGGTTGCAGCACTTGGTATAACTGGTCTCCAGGATCGCGAGATAGTGAATCGGCAAGACGAGATGGCGGGCAGGCTCTAGCAGTTGCAGGGCAGGCAGCGGTTGGACGACTAGAAGATGGATCTGAATCAACTTGGACGGGCCGGATTACCCTGGCTCAACAAGTCTCCCTGGCATAAAAGGCCCCTGTCAGGCTGGGTACAGTTTCCGTAAATTGTGGCCGAATGGTTTGTGATGATGACTGGCAAGATGAAAAGGATTTACACCTATTGGATGTCGTGCAGTTGTTTCTCAGTACCTACTGTACGTACTGTAGGGAAATAATCCGAGCCTATATCCGCGTTGCATCGTACCTCATTCTGAGTTGTAGGCGACCAGAATGCCATAGCAATCAGGGCAAACCTTGGTAGTTCAATGGCCCGGTCTTCCTCTAACGCAGGCACGACAATCACATGCGTCTTATTACACCTTCCTTTTCATATATTCTCGGATGGGGATTTTTGCTAGGTAGGTGGGTTAGTACGTGCGCAGGTCAGTTACTTTACTGTAATTATGTCGCAGTTGCCTTGCTAGCATTTTAAACCACTCGATTGCTTTCCTAGCTGGGCAGGAGACAGGTACGCTTTCTCATCCTGTATTCGTCGATCAGACCGCTTCGTGCTCCGTGCCTTCCATACCCCGTCGTCCGGCTCAAGCTCCGTGGCCCGTTGTCCCGTGCTCTCATGCCCCGTGCTTCCTTCCCGTTGTACTTGTCTGGGCTCCAAGGGTTCTCCTGCCGCTAATCAACGACAATGCAATTGTTGGAATGGCTTAATTCCCATCTCCACTCGTCGTGATTTTTCCCCTGGGCAAACAATTTATGTGCCGTTTGATCAACTTGGACGCGATATGGCAATAATGCTTACCGACGCTATTGAGCATTGTTGAAATGAATTAATACGAGACGCTGAGCATCGATTCAAGATTGAAGAGTCAGTCACAAAGTACCAACTAGACTAGACTAATGCCACGAGTAGTTCATGGAAGTAAGTTATGACGATTCGTCAGCTATTTTAACTATGGTCAAGGGTTTAGTTCTCTCCGCTAGTCGGACCTTGGCAATGGCGTCCCTTCGGACAGCTTCCCCTAGCCAAAAACCAGGGCAAGACAACGCAAACACGCCAAAGCAGGGGATCCAAGGATCCAAGCGAGATATGGCTACAGTATTACAAGATTTTGTCAACGGCCGAAAGGCACCGGAATGTTGTGCGGAGCCTTTTGTTCAATTCTCAAAGCTTGACTAGGAAAGAATGGGCATTCGAGATGTGCTTGAATCCCCCCGAAACCCTCTCGAGCTCCTTGACTAGGTACTTACTTGCCTGCAAGATCAAGTAATTCTTACAGGTCGTTGCGCAACGATCACCACATACATACCAACATTGCGTCTGTCAGTCTCGTCCGCTATGATACCACGCTACAGTACATATAGGATCCATAGCAGCTATGCTACAGCTACGCGAAGCTGATCGGTAATTTGCCTTGATTTAAAATTTAAGTTTGATGCTCAACGGGCCATGAACCCCCAAGTCCCACCTTTGCATCAACAAGATTGAACATCATAGACCGGTTCTTCAACCGTCTTCCTCTAAACCGTTCCAGCATATGATCTTCCCCACAATCAAAAGCCCAGGTGGTTGATCATCATCAACGGTAAACAACGAAAGGCCGACAACTTTGC